GTACAAAACTTTTGATAAAATAAAAAACTTATAGTTGTTCTGCTTCTGAACACTGATGAAAACACAATAGGATGGGCTTTATCAACAATCAAAAATATATACATTTATTTTACAAATTCCATATTATTAGGGTGGTGCCCTTCAGAGAATTAAAGATTCAAAATTATCTTCATCAAAGCCGATGCTTTACATTCGGCGTTCAGTGGCAGACTACTATTCCATATTGTTTTACAACACATGGCTTCAGCCCTCTGGTGGGAAAGACTTTAAAACGAAACTTGCAACAGTTACTTTTCTCAACAACTGAAATTTAGAATAGTGTGATTAAGAAAAATATGTGAACTGTTTTCAATTTCAAATTAATATTAAAATGTACAGGTTTAGAATTTTCTACAGTGAAAAGTTTTCGGAACTTCAGTATTAAAAAAAGTACGCAAAAGCTAGAAGTTAAGAACGTATCCAATGAGCGAGCATTGGATTGTGAAATGAACTGCGAAAGCAGTTCCGGGGGTTGGCAGGCAGGGGGCGAAGCCTCCTAGTATATATATATTACATATGTATGTATATATATATTACATAAATAGATTCATTCTTGGATTTCTGACTACTCTCATCCCTGAGTGTATACAATTTCTTTTCTGCAAACAGGGTTATCAACTGCCTGACATTGTTACGCATTCTCAATCCATCCTCGAAACAGTCTTGTCTCATTTACACCAAATAGAGTTGGATTTGAAAACGTTAATTTTTCCTAGTACTGACAAGTCTTTGAAAATGTCGTACAGCCGTCATTACTCTGCCACAAAAATTGAGGAGGAGGAAGTCACCCATGATAACCTCAAAAATTGCATTCATTCAGTTGTAGAAAAGCTTAGCCATGATGATAAAGAAAATTCCAGGCTTGTATCTGATCTCTGGATGCAGCAACAGTCTTCAACGCATGAAATTAAGTGAGTAATCATTGATTTGCAAGATTTTGTGTGAAATAATTTTTATTTAAAGGGATGGTTTATTTAAACTAACAAAATGATGTTTAACAATATTTTTGGAAGCTATTTTCCTACCTATGGTGTATGTGACCATCTTCTGATAACTTCAAATGAAGTGCTTTGCATACATAAACAGGGGTATGCTTAGAAGAAATTTGGGTCCGTTAACAGACCCTTCACAAAATATCTTTTCATAAAAACGGACCCTTCACAAAATAATTTATCTTTTAATCGGATCCTTCACAAATTTGTTTATCTTGTTATCATTATTGTTTTATTTGTTATCATTATTGTTTTATTAATCGAATAAATCCTCCCCTGAGGGGAGAAAGATGGTTCGAGACAAACTAAGTTTCCCTAAGTTTAAATTTCAAATGTAGTATTCTAAGAAAATTTCTCTAAAACATGTGCGCATTCTTTTTTATATTAAATTGTTAATTTTTTTTGGTAAATAAGTAATAGAATATTATGTAAATAAAAATTAATTTCTGGCAATTTTTTTTTGAATTTAGTAGCAGCAATTGTTGAGCAGAATCTTGTATCGATTTACAATTTAAAAACTTCTTGAAAAGTTTTTTAACAATTTTTGCAATAACAGGACCCTATTTGTAGAAATTTACAAAAGCAGGATTTGTGTTGAAAGAATGTGACTTAACGCTTATTTTATATTAACAAATTATGAATAGTTTTTTTGCAATTTTACAAGAACATTACCTTTTACAAAATGTCTGGGCAGACCCCTGATTAGTGCTAAAGAGTTCTGTCACAGAAAGCCCGAAAAAATTCAATTTTTGAAATAAAAAAGAAATTTAAGATTGAATTCATTGCCTTAAAATACATTAAAACCTCAGGACAACAATATTTTGGGGACCCAATAAATATAGTGTTGTAGAGAGATATATTATTATATCAAGGGCCTACATTCTTTGGGGGCATAAGATATTTTTTTAAAATTTTAATGTTATATAGGTATTAACTATAAATCTATTTATATAAAATTTAGTTTGCAGAGTGATAATTATGGTTAAATATGAAATCAGATAGGAATATGACTTCTTAAGAGATGAGGGAGGCAATTCTATGAATGGAAGGTGTTGGGGGGTGGTCTGTGTACATCAAGGATGAGGTATTGAAATCTGAATACAAAAGCCATTCACTGTGGGGAAAAGAAATAAGATAATCAACAGTGAGACTTCTCTTGACAGAAGACAGGAAAGAAGAAATATGATAGAAAAAAAGATTTTTTACATTATATGAAAACCAATGTTAAGAGGAGAAAATAAGGTTGAAATTTGTTTTAAAAAATCGTTTTACAGGAGTTTATTGTTTCAGAGGATATCACAATATTGAAAGGTGGACAACATTAATTCATATTCAAGTTTGTCGGGACCAGGAGACATTATTGTAATAGAGGGAGTTATGGTTGTATCGGATATCGTTGTTGCGAGAGTCCACTGTATAAATAAATGTCCCTATTCGTTAGCTCAACATTTTTTCATTGAAATTAGTTTGCCAGTATTTTAATTGATTCCTTATGTATTTTATATAATAAGAATCCTCATGAATATTGAAATATATTTTAGATTTTGTAGTGAGAATATGATTTTGTGCCCTCTTACATTACCTAGTTCCTATTCATCAATTGTTGAAGGGTGTATCATAAAATCGAAGTTACACTCTTGGTGTGACAAAGAACTTGAAAAGAACTACTTATTGGTAATTATTTCTATCTCTTCATTTGGCACCTTTTTTTCAACTGCACTACAATTGAAGTAATTTTCCTTATGCAGTGGCGTAGTTTGGGGGACACAACCGGAATTACTTGATTAATGAGCTATTGTACGATGTAGAGGTAAAAAAAAAATTAATTATTAATTTTTAGTATTTAAACATTTTGAAACGAAACAACCTCTGTGTGAGAAAACCTACAAAATTCAATCGGGGGTCTGTCCGGGCCAAATTTACTACCGTCTAGCGGTATTTTCACAAATTCAACTTTATAAAAAACGGTGGTTTCACAAAATGCTTTTTCTTTAAAAAAAATTTTTGTGTCCCGTAAGAAATAATAAATTCATATTTTTGCATATTTTTTTTGTTTATTTTTTAATATAATAATTTTCAGAAATTACGTGTTAATTTTCCTAAAATATTCAGAAAAATCTAGACCGGCCAATAGATGTCGGTTTAAAGGAGGAAGAGTTGTATGTGTGGTTCAAAAATGAGTCTGGTTTATCCATTGTTAATTGGTCCTTCATATATTAAGGGATCTGTCTAGGTTTTTCTGAGATATTTTGTGAAAATTATATTAAAAAATAAGCAGAAAAATATGGATTTATCGTTTCTTACAGGATTCAGAAATAAAATTTCAAGAAAGTATTTTGTGAAACTACCGCTAAACGGTAGTAAATTTGGCCTGGACAGACCCCTATGCCTATATCATGCATATATCATAAGGAGGGAATCAATAACCCCCTCAAACATATATTAAAACTATGCCACTGCCCATATGTATTTTGCCAAGAAAATTTTTTTTATTTTTAACTCTAGTATTTAAGAGGGTATTCAACTGTTGTATAAACAATTGTATTCTAAAGTGCCCCCCAAAAAAACAACCCCACCCTGAATAACTTCTGATCTCATGATGGGATCTTTACGTTCTAGGACCCAATTCTAATGGTTTGAGGGGGTAACCTCATGAATTAGTGCAGACAATATTTGCAAAATCATACTTACTTTCTCTGGATTCTCCCTTTTTTTCATGCATTCCCAAAAATATAGAAGGGTAAGAAATAGGGTCCCATTCTTGTCCTTTGGAAGAGAATTGTTGCACACAAAGATAAATTCCATGCAAAAAATAAATCAATATTTTATTTTATTTAATAATGGTCAAAACAATTTTGAATTCTAAGTGTAACAGTTAAATTAAATATTATTTGGTGCGTATAAAGTAAAGTTAAGTTATTTATTGTTATTAAAAATTGATAGATTGAAATATTTGGTATATAGTACTTGTATTTGGATATAATCATGATTAATATTAGTTAAGTGATTGATTTTTGTAATAATTAAATTAAGGGGGATGTGATCGTTAAGGAAAGTGGTAGTACAATGCTAATGTGGGATAACCATAACCCAATAGGTTCAAAGGGTCACAAAGTATGAGGTTTGAACAAATTGGATAATTTGGTATCACCAAATTTGGAAAAGGGGCGAAACTAAAAATAAATTTAAGATTAAAGATAAAAACGATAAAGTCATGCTATATCCAAACAATATATATATCATTCAATGCAAAATTTGTGATGTTTCCAAAGAGAAAAAGTAAATGCCCATAACAATAAAAAAGGTACTCACCGCATACAGAAGGAAAAAAGGTGATAACTAATAGCTATAAAGGTAAAGCTAAAACAACAATAACACAAAACTTTCTGTTCAAGTAAACATTTATTTTTGTAAAACTACTTATTTTGATCATTTCGTAACAAACAAACAATATGATTCTAACACATTTTGTGGCACAAAAAAATATCTTTTAAAAGGAAATGGGTGACAAGAGAATTTAAAGAAACCAAAGGCGTCAGGCATAAAGTTAAATATAAAAGAATGATTAATTTAACCGTTAAAATAAATATGAAAAGAAAACTTAAATTTGAGAGGGCTTTTAATGTTAAAGAAAATTAAAGTTATAAAATGTTGATTTTAAATTTCACAGAAATTGATTACAGCTGTGGATTTAATTTAAAATAAAGGTTAAGAAAAAAATGTAAAAAGAAATCCCTCGATACGGACCGGAGTCCGCATCGCGGAGAATTTAAAAAAAGGGTAACCTGCCAGAAGGCTCGAGAAAAAGAGAATCTATATTAAAAGACTTAAAGAAATTCCTTAACTGGGGTAGACCAGAAAAGTTACGGCCAATTAAATTTAAAGAGGCGGAGAGTTTGAAATTTAAAGGAAAGAGATTGGTTTGTTAGCCCCCCTGAAATTAAAAGAAGAAAAAGAAAGGCATGAATAGAGAGGTTGGTTGACTTTCCCCACAGGAAGTGCGATGACCGCAATGACCATGAGAAAGGTCAACAAGAAAGTTAAAATTGCTATAATGAAAAAAAAGGAACAACGTTTAAAGAAAAATTAAAGCTTAGATAAAACTAGAAATTAAGTTGTCACATTACATTAAGTGTATATGTGACACTAAGGTATAAAAATTTTTACGTAATTTTTCATGGCAAAATACAAAATTTGTGCGAAATCTGTCGAAGTCTTTGAGAAATCAAAAGTTAACTGTACAACTTTTTTAAAATTTGATTTCTCGGGAACCGCTAGTCCAATCTCGATATCACCTATTCGACGACATTTTGACATTTATCGATATTATCAGCTTATGGATGAGAATTAGTAATGTGAACTATAGTATAGTAATGCATTATATTTAAATTTAATTCTTTAGCCAGTTTAAATATTAACTGAACAATATCAGGAAGCTATCCTTGATATAAAACTTGATTTGCTTGAAACAAAATTTGAAGATGGAAAGTTAACATGTTTTGAGCAGAATCTTGTTTTATTCATATAAATGAATCCCTCATCATCTCTGCATAGAAATGCATTTTGCCTTTCTTGGACACTGCTGGTGTTTTTTTAATTTTTTTATTGGCAACTTTACATTTTGTGTTTCAAATTACTCTTGTTTTCCTCATTCCTGTATGGTGAGTTTTGAGAACGAATGCCTATTTTGAGTGCTCTCAGCTTTTATTGCCATCTTCATATTTTTTAAACGAATGAAATTCTTATATCATCAGTTATATTGTTTGAATTTTAAAAAAGTTGTAATAAGTTAAGCAAAAAATTTAATTTGTTGACTTGGGAGGTAAAAGAATAATATGACCCCAATTTAGCAATTGTGAAAATAGTGGGTTGTAGCTAATATATTCTTTCATTCTAAAGCAAAAATATAAAATTGTACACATGTTCAGCTAAAAATAATACAGAACTCTTTTAGTATATGAAAAGAGTTTGTGAAAGATTTCACCTCATCATGTACTTCTTGAGAACTGTTGAGCCTTTTCTTTGTCATTTCCTCACTTTTGTCTGTACAAACAAAATGAGTATAATAAAACCTGTTGGCCTGAATTGACCTCTATTATCAAGAACCAAATTTTTATGAAAAGGAACAGAATTTTTGTATTCTGTCTATCTTGCTGCAATAAATAAAATTTAAATGCTTATTCTAGACCTTTCAAAAGTTGATTAAAAAATAATAAAAGAAAATTTTAATTTTTTTTAACACTTTTGTAATATCAGGACTCAGAAAATCTCACATTTTTTTTACTTTAGTTCAGGTAATGGAGCTCAAAAATCTTCTTGAAAATTTCAAAATCTAAAAATACTATCTGGAAAATTTTCTTTTATTGTATATTTATGTCTTTCTGACTGCTAAGCATGAATCCGTATTTTGCAATCAAATATTTTTTCAGAAACATTTTTCCCACAAAGAAACTGTAAAAATCTAGTTTTTCACAAGTAACTTTCTTGTAGTTTAGGTTGGAAGATTCCCGATTTCATATATAAAAACTAAGAACTTTTACTACAAAACTAGTTCTTACAATTTGACCATAGGGTAATCTAAGATCTATGCCTGTGAGAAAAGTCATGGAATAATCTCTCCCTTGAACAAAAATTAATGGAGGTTTAGAATTTTATAAAACTTTTCTTATGACTTTCATAACTGCCCTTTCCTATCTGCGGCAAAACTCTCTAGCTCTAATATCTTTCTGCAAGATACTTTTAATATATATGTTACTAATTTAAAATAACAAACGGGCTGTGTTTACGAAAAAAACTTCTTCTTTTTTAGTTGAACATGTAATAATTTTTTATTCTAATATGGGTGATATACACGCATTTTGTTGGAAGGGGGAAAACGTGCTAATTATTTCTTTCTTTGCATTTTGTAAATAATCAGCACAATAAAAAAAAAACATAATTAAAAATCATGAAATCCGTGTTTAAAAATTATGGAGAAATAAATAACAGTACCTTCCAAAAATTCAATTGAATCATTGCCTTAAAAAGTAAATACTCAAAGATACAATTTTGAATTTTCCATATTGTTTGAAATAAATCAGGGTATTTGAAAGATCACATGAAAATTGAAGATAATGACTGATGATCTAAATGCATGATTAAAATTTTATGTGTAAATTTCTGTAGAAAAGAAAACTAATTTTTTTACTTTTAAAAGGAAAAATCGTCCTGCAAGAAGTTTGTAACGTACTGCGACAATGTCACCATGTCGCTGCGTTACTGTATGGAGAGAAAAAATATTTCCCTTTGAGTAACCACAGTTTTTCCTAAAACTTCCACAAAATCATGATTTTCGTTTTTTTTTTTTTTTTTTTTTTTTTTTTTTTTTTTTTTTTTTTTTTTTTTTTTTTTTTTTNTTAGTTTTTTTTTTTTAATCAATTTATGTTTAACATGCATTCATTTACTGTCTCAGTGAATAATTTTTTATGTAATATCAGATAATTGCAATATCGAAATATCTGAATGGAACATATATAATAAGGATGCAATTTGACTGGATATCTGTTGCATTCATAATTTTTAAAAAAATGTTTTAATCTAACCTATAGTCTGCTAAATGTGGGGTCTTGAATATATACGCAGCTATAATTCTGGTGGGAGAGTACTGTAGTGTGTCTACCACTACAAAAGTACAATTCCAATTCACTAGTATATATAAGACATGTTAACTTGATTCTATGATAAGGTACCTTTTCATAGATGAAGGTTGATATGACTCTCCCCGCAATATATGTTATATTCAAAAGAATTTTTTTTTTTTTAAAGATAATAAAAGGAAGTCTCACTCATGATTATGTGGACATTGGAGGCAGTTCTCATGTTAATGTGACTCTTCGAAAAAAACCTGCTGAAGTTACAATCACAAAAAGAAATGCCTGGTTGCAAAAGTGCTTTATTCTTTTGAAAAAGGTAATGTTTGAATGTTTGTAAAAAATTGTTTCACGTTTTTCTTTATGTGTCGCTTTAAAAATAGCAGTAAAATTTCATTATAACGACAATTCACACTAGCAGATTAAATTGTCGTTGTAACGAGCTTGTTGTTTTAAGCAAATATTTATATTTATTGTTAAATTAGCAAAAGTAAGACTGAAAAAGGAAATTTGTCATATTTCTCTTTTTTTTAATTTTTTTTATTTGAACTATAGTTTTGAAGTAAATTGCGTTTCCCTATATATTGTAAGCTGAATTACTTAGTAGTACTATACCAGGGTTACCACTCCACAGAGCGATCTGCAAAAACCTGAAAAATACAGGGAATTTTAGAATCACCTAAAATATGAGGGAATTTTTAGTTATTACAGTGGAGCATCGTTTATACGACGCCGAAGGGACCACCGAAAAACGTCGTATAAACGATAACGTCGTATAATCGATTTTTACTTCTAAAACTGAAAATAACTCTGTTTTCAGTTAATTTTAATGTTTAACGTATTGATTTACATAAATTTCTAAATTAGACAAAGCAAAACAAACAAATAACCAAAGAAGAAAAATTGCAGTGAGCAATTTGAATGTATGTTACCTTTAATTATATTTTCTTGCTATTAGTCTTTACAATGCTTTGAATAGTGAGTTGAACTTACTGCTTTCTATGATGCAATTTTAGATTTCTAATCACGGCCAAATCTAATGGCTGAAGCGCGCTTGTGCAATTTGCAGGAAAAAAGAGAGCTTTTACATTTTCCAAAATAATTAGTATCGATGGGTGCGCTGGACATTGGTCGATGAATAGCAAAATTTTTCGTTTTTGCCTCTTCATAACATTGTCTAGTTTTTTCAGTCATCTAGTAAAAATTACGTTCGTCATCCAAGCATTCTTGTTGGCACCCTTTTCTGTATCATTCATATTGGCAAATTCCGCCCTTTTTTAAAATACACGGGGAAAATAAAGAATTAAATAAACGTGAACAAAATCTAAAAACCGACGTATAACCGATTCTGTGCGTCGTATAAACGATATATTTTTACAATAAAATGAATAGGAATGATTTGGGACCACACTAAAACGTCGTATAAATGTAAACGTCGTATAAGTGATCGTCGTATAAACGATGTTCCACTGTATTTAGAAACTGGGAAAATGCAGGGAATTTTGTTTCTAATTTTCGTCTTTTAAAAAATGGTGACCACTCGAAGTGCAATCTATAGGATATTGAAGGATGATATTTCAGCTATACTAAACTATTTCATTTATTTATAACATTATTTAAGTGTGTTCAGCTGGTCCTTTTTTTTCTTCCTAACTTTTCCAGCAATTAAAAGTAGTTAGCCCAACCCTGTATACTTTATGAAAAACAGAAATGCCATTAATGTTTGAACAGCAAGTTTTCAAATCTAAAGCATTTGCTGTAAGAAATTAAAGTGCGTCATTAATGATGGTTGTGAAGAAAGGGGTCAACAAAAAAGAAATTCGCTTTTCACTACCAGAAATAAAAATCTTCCATTTAAATCTTCTTCCTATAATATTGCTCCATTATTCAGTAGAAATTTGCTTCTGAATTTTTTTTTTTATCGCGATGATATTCACTTTTAATTTCTTATGAACATACAATTTTTGTATCTTCAATATTATAATTTTCCCGGTGACTTAAAAATTGTCATAGTGTACTTCTCTTACTCGGCTGTACTTGTTAGTGGGGAAAAACTATACTGAACTCCAATATTAAACATCTATTTTAAAATCTTAAAAGAACATATTAAGTTACCTAAAAAGTTTGTCCTAAAGTCGCCTTTGCAATTAGGTTGCATAATCAGAACTCAATTGGCAAATACAGCAGAAAATATTTTCCATTTGTAGCTAATTTATATACTTCAAAAAAAATTATAATTTTTCATTATGATTATAAAAAAAACTTCTGGTTTATGAAGGAAATCTTATTTTCCTTTGTGTTATATATTTACCTGTTAAAATTATTAGAACCTTTTCTGACTCCAATCCAGATGGATTGAGGCTCTAGTACACATATTGGTCTGGTTCCTTCGCCAATCTTGAACAGTTTCTTGAAAACAAGATGCTGCATTAATGATAGATAGAAAAAGTATTTTTCAGTAGCCATTTCACTGTACAAGGCTCCCAGGCACGGAAATGTTTTACACCCCTATGACATGCCATAACTATAAAAAAATTTCACATACATAAAATAAATCATTTTTTAAGGTATGCAATAATTTTAGCAAATTTAAACCCATTTTGATTACCCCAAAAACTCAAAATAACCAGTTGTAATCCTCATATAATTAAATAATTTTCAAAACTATGGAAGTTAATTAAATTAAATAAACATAAAGGTATAACAAATAAAAAAAATTCTATAGGTATGAATTATTTTGTCAAACTAAGCAGTTATTAAAACATGTTACAATGCCCAAGCAAGGCCGGATTTACGTATAAGCTAAATAAGCTGTAGCTTGGGGCCCCCAGATGACAAGGGCCCCCAGATCCTACTTTCCCTCCTCTTTTTTTAAAGGTTTATTCGTAGCTGGTGCCTTCAGATGCCCAAAATGCTTTTTTTTTTCTTTTTTACATTGTCGGACATAATAAATATAAATAAATGACGGAATAAAACAAAAAACTTTGTTGTCATTAGTAGGGAACGTATCATCTTTCAAGCAATTTGAGTATTAATAAATTATTTATAAATAAGCAATTTTTTAGTTTAAAAGGTAAAAAAGTTTTTTTTTTTTTGCCCCATCATTCGATCATCAGACTATTTAATATCTGTTTCTAAGGATCAGAATTCCCTTTTATTTTACTTTAAAATTGTACAAATGATATATTTAATGCTTTCATGTGATATGCAGCAGTTTTAAATAGCACTTTAAAATATCTAAAAAAGGACAGAAATTGTCAGATCAAAAAAAAATTTAACTAATACTTTTGAATAAGAATTAAAATAACTACACACGTTTGTTTTGCTCTCTCATTCTATATAGCATTATTTAGAGTCGACAGTTGCGAGTAGGTGTGATGATGACGTAATAAAAGAGGCATACAAAAAAAGCAAAATTCATTTCAGTTAAAATCCTCAATATTATATTTTTAAACTCCTCGAAAATGTAGTTAAAGTGGTATACAAATTAACTGTCGCAAGCAAATTGATATTAAGTAAGAACGAAACAAAAATGATATCGAAATATGCTGAATCACTAAGGAGACCGGGATGAAAGACATCGAAACCTATTTGATTGAATAGTATAACTAGAAGGTGTTTCTAAAATTCTGAAATCTATCAGGCTTTAATTTTTTTTTCTGTCACAAACTTTATCAGTAATTAAAAATAATAAATTCCTTAGATTTTAATATTGGTTCTGTTTTTTCGTTGATCAAATGTTAAACATTAACAGATATTTGTCTTTCAAAACATTTCATTCTATAATAAGATAATTATTCTACAATTGTAATTATCTAAAACTAATTGCTAATTGATACGAAGCTTTAGTGTGTTCCATTGATATGTTGAATGCTCGTTTTGGCTGGAGACCCGGGACAGTTGCTCTTTCACATCCTATCCACTATACACCATCAAGAGCAAAGCTAATACTTTAAACCCGTTTGACATTTATTCTCTCTGATATTTAATAGACCCTTTAATAAATCTTTAAAAATATAAGCCAAAAATGTACATAAATAATGAAATTTTTTTTCTTGCACTAAAATTTAACAAATGTACTGAAAATAATTAAAAAGAAAGCAAAAATAATGAAGAAATATTTTCAATATAAACAACAGTTAAATAATATCAGTTTACGAAATGTTCTTTTTATTTTGACAAACAGTATTAATATAATGGCCCTCACCTGCTCCAGGGACTGCTGGATTGGGTTCAAAATGACAAGGCTACGGAGTTGAATATTAGTAGTCATGAACTTGAAATTGGGTCGGCTGTGCAATACCTGTTATAAAATAAACTAATAAATTTGACCGGGATAGCCTGGTTGATAGAGCGTTGGACTCGTGTTTGTGAGAATAAGAGTTTGAATCCAGCCGGCAGAAGAATACCCATGTTTAAAATGGTGACTATTGCATGTTAAATTTGTCGGGGTCACAAAGTCCTCCAAGTTCTTATAACAAATAAATACCTTTGGGTACTAATCAAGCAGTTCCCTTGTTTTCTGGATTGGGTTCAAAATGACAAGTCGAATTTGCATATTTTCTACGCACATTCAAAATTTCATGCTTCTGAGTCTTATAGATTTTGTAAGGTAAAGAAAATCAATTGATAAAAAATCATTAAAAATTGCAAATGAAATATATTTAAAATGAATCTAAAAAAAAATAACTCTGTTAAATATATAGTGGCCCAGCACGCCAAATTTTTACTCTGTGCTTAAAATGTGTTTCTTTTGTAACTTTTCCCCCCTCTTTCAAAAAATGTGTGCAATAAAAGAAAGGTTCTACATAATAGTCTCATCACAATTAATATATTTAACAATAAAGTAATATTATCAAATTTTTTAATAATATAATGTTAATACTCAACAATAAAAAATAGTGACAGTTTACTTTAGGTGTATAGAAATGGAATAGAACTTATAAGGGCCCCATCATTTTCAGTAGCTTAGGGCCCCACCAAGCTTAGATCCGGCCCTGTGCCCAAGTACCTAAAATTTTCATTGGAATGTAGAAGAATAGTTTTCAGTTGCCTTTTTAAGATTTCTGGTTGATAAACTATTCAAATTATTGGTGTTTGCGTGATAATCAATCACCATTTGTGGAAAAAATGCACACTTTATGAATGGAATATATTTATTTTTAAAAATATATAAGGTAATTATGTTTATTCTTAGCTTTTTTTAATAAAATTTTTTAAAAAGTTAAATTCTCAAGGGCCTCCAGGCATTGCCCATGCATAAAGACTGTACTGCTTATGTTAGCTCTTTTGTTCAGGGCACAAAAAAGTTTACACCCTGAATAACTTTTGATCTAATGATAGAATTTTCACATATTAGGTCTCAATCTTAAAGCACCTCATCTTAAATAGGCTAATAAATTAGTGTTGCCGATGTTTTAGGTAATGAAATCAAATTACAAAAAGCTTAATTTTTCAGTATTAGATATAACTTTTTTTCAACGTATTCTGATTGCTAAAATATGACCCCAATAGTTTGGTTAAGAATGCAGTCAAAAGTTGGACGGCTTAATGCTACATTTCATTTTTGCACGTGTCTCAAAAACACTTCTTTAATGAATCTAAATGTTTTGTGAACAATTATAAAATTTATTATTCAAAAATATGTGGAAAAAATAGTTTTTCATAGTTTTCAAAGAATAACCTTATATGGCCAAATACAAAGTTTGAAAACGATGAGTTAAATGATTTTTAAGTTATCTCATTTTAAAAAAAGTCGTATTTTTAAAATTTGATTTCTCGAGAACTATTCAACTGAATTTGTTCAAAATTTGTATTCTTACTTTAGTTCTTAAAAATTATGTAAATATTTGTATACTTCGTAATACAAAAATTTTCAAACTATTATTAAATTAATCTAAATAATTATTAGAAATTATTTTGTACTTTGTTCTGTAAATAAAATATTTATTACTAAAACTAATGCATTTCATGATGTCCCTCTAAATTATATCGTTGTGTGTTCACTTCAGTTACAGATAAATGTTCTTTTAGTCCATGGTACTGTTGATGATGATATTGTTTGCTATTGTCTGGCCCATTCTATTTGTCTCTTCTCCCATATTCCCTGGGCAGTGTTGGAAATCCTTTGCCTGACTATGAAGACATCACCTTGCACCTATCTCTTGGATTGTAATGAAGTAAGAATGCTCAGTTTTTTAAGTTCCCAACTGAGAAAGTGTCACCTTATCCATAGACCGATTATACCACTTCGATCTCTGCCCTGTGGCATTATCATGGCGACATTGTCGCAGAACGTTAGAGTTCTTGCAAAAAGAATTTTCTTTTGGGAAGGGGAAAAAAACATTTCGGCAGAAATTTACATGTAAAATTTGAATTGCGCATTTAAATAATAATTTTTTGTCGCATTCAATTTAAGCAGATAGTATCGTAAATCCATGTAGTGTTTTTATTGTATTTCCGGCAGTAGTTGATTTTCACATGGTTTTTAATTATCCCAATAAATTTCAGACAATATGGGAAATTCGACTCTAGTATTTACTTTTCAAAGCAACGATGTTATTGTGTTTTTTTTGGGGGGGGGGGCAATTATTGCTTTTGGTTTCGATATAGTTTTTAAAATCCTATGTATGCATATACAACAATCAAATCTTGAAACGAAATACATATTTGAGTAACCCCTGTTTTTGAACAGTCCGATTCGCTTGATTTTTTTCATCGATCTGTTTTTCTGTAATTACAGCTACGAATTTTGTGATTTTTAATATTTTTTTAAATGTAATGATGATTTACAAAATGTCATAAAGGGAATAATGAGTGCGCTTTTCTTCCCATAAATATATTGATTTTTTTTTTCGCTTTTCGATAATAACAATCTTGTGAATCATTTGGCAAGTAACTGTGTCTACCATCTAAAATATTATGAATGATAGAACTATTTTAGGTCAATGAACAATTATGTACTTGAAGTTAATTTGCCTTAAATTTTATATCATAAAAATTTGCTAGCTTTACAAAGTGAGAAAAAGGTTTGTTTGAAATGCTTAGTTTTTTTTTTAAACTAACTTTTTTTCTAATTTAACTTTTAACTCTAAAAATAGATGATGGATGCACTCTGACTGCAACTCTTTAAATAAAAACCTCACACAAATACTCGTTTGTTTTGTTCATATTTTTTTCATCTTTCCCCATTTGACCTCATTTAATGCAGATGTTTGTCTGAGAGGTCTCCTAAAGGTTTTCTTCCAAAAGTGGTCTTAATAGAGGAGGTCACTACAGAGAGGCAGTCTTTCCTGGTGGTTTCACTGTATTTTAAAGAATATTATAGTTTGCATTATATATGTATACATGTTCAAGCAAGTGAAATGTCTCAAAAAAGTTTCTAAAAATGCATATTAAAGTAAAATAAATGTGTAGTAAGGATAAAAATAACACTTTACTTATTCATGTAATTTTTTTAATCGAAAAATATCTTCTCACTTTAATCCATCATAAAAACATGATTTATCTTAAATGAGATACATTTTTGAAAAGTCTCATTTGTCAGTAACTGTTTTAAGTTAAGAAACTAGAGTAATTTAAAAATTTCTCCTCAGAAAAATGCTTACTTCAATTGAAATACAAACATTTCATAGATGTCTTCAGAACTGCCAAGTCTCCTGTTTTTTACTGAAACTCCTGTATTTTAGGACTATCTCCTGTTTACCTGTATATTCTCAAATTTCCTCGTATTTGTTGAAGAAATTATTTTTAAAAACGACAATAAAATATCTGCTGATGGCAAAATTACTTATCTTATTCCTCAACAGATAGTGCTATTGCCAGTACTGCAGTATTTTGACTGTTAATAGTTTAAATAAATATAAATAATGGTTTAAAAAAATCTTTATAAAAAAATTTTCTTCTTTAGGTTAATATTTATATTTGAGCTAATGTTCATTGACAAGGCAATGTATTGAATTGGATTTATAAGTAATAATTAAATAGTAACTTTCCCTTTGATAATTAAAAATTCCATAATGTTATACAACATTTTCAAATATCTATATATGAGAAAGAGGAAAACAAGTTGAACTATTTTTAAAAATAAATTATTACGTCAGTTGTAAATTCTTCAAAGAATCTCTGTGGGATTCTTGCTGCCTTTTCTAGCAGTGTTGTATTTATTAAAATTTGAAAAACATGAGTGTTTTTAAAACCAATTTTAAGTCTTCTTGAACAATCAAATTGCGGAGGAGGCAGGATAGAGTCGTACTCTAAAATGAGTTAAAGTTTTAAATATTTAATTTGCAAGTGTAGAATAAGTCTCCCAAAAAACAGATATCACCCTGAATAACTTTAGTTCTAATAATTGGATTTTCACATACTAAGTGTCAATCTTAATGGTTTCTAGTGGTGACTTCAAGTATGCTAATTAATTAGTGCTAACTATTAATTGAGTTAAGAAATCAGACACAAAAATGCACTTTCTCTGGAAAAAAAATTTTTTTTGCTGCATATTTCAATTCCTGACCCTAAATATTGGGGGGTAGACAAAATTAATATGAAGGGGTCTGAACTTTAGATCGTTCTCCTGACCAAACTATGGGGACCCTATTTACCTAATCGGGGCTACCCTTTATATTTTGAAGGTTAAGAATCCAAGTATGTAAAATATGTTTATTCAGAGAAAGTACTTTTTTGTGCACAACTTAATTAATAGTTACCACTAAATAATTTAGGCATATTTGAGGTCCCTCCTAGAACCATTAAGATGAGAGCCAGTAGTGGCCTTCTAATGAAATCTATGCAAAAGTAAAGGCCGACAATAATAGGAGGATTCCACCTAGTCGTGAATGGTATCAACAAAATAGTCCTGGGGCTGCCCTGGAGCTAAAAGGTGATTTGTTGAAAAGGTTTATTTTGGAGGATCCGCAGATGGTGTTTGATTTTCTGTCGGTGAACGGTCTCCTGGACTTGGTCTAGCCTTGTTCTGGGCCAAGAGGAATAAGTACCACCACCATTAAGATTGACCGTTAGTATGTGAAAATCTAATCATTAAAATGAAAGTTATTTTGGTTGATATATATTTTGCTCAGTGTATATAGAAAATTAACAACCAATGCAGCTTCTAGTCATGCAGTTTGTTTAAAAAATATGTCAATCAAAAAGCCTTATTAGTTCTCACACTTTTCTGTTATGGAAGTCACCACCAAGATTGGAAATTTTAAAAATTTAAATCTTATCTTCTACATTATATAGAAAAATAGAATCACAGAATAAATGGAAATTTATTAGGGGTCTCCAAGATGTTACAAAGATGAAAAAGACACCTTAAGACTAATAAATCATTTCGTTACACTTGTTTACGAAAAGCTTCTTCCCTGCTCAAGTATTTCAGCTATAATCACTGACGTCCACAATTTGGGTGGTCCATTAAAAAAATAATAATAATAAAATAAAAAACGCTCATTTTTTGAGGAAATACCAGCAATACACAACTTTCTTTTTTTTTTCTTTTCTGTTGAATTGAAATATATATTAAAGCAATAGCAATTCAACACTACATAGCAATTAAACTACAATATTTTTTTAAAAAAAACTTATTATATTGGTGTTTCATGGTGCCCCCTTTAACTTCTGGTGTCCTTCGCACATGTTTATTATGCTTAATGATTAATACAGCCCTGTTTAATATCAGTATTTGAACATATTTCAAGAGATCTTTCAATTAATCTTATATATTCNGTCTGGAATTTATTATAAAAGGGTTGCGCTTGCGTAAAATGTACTATCATGGAAATTCAGCCTTTTTGCGTTTTGGCTAATCTCATCCCTGAAATTAGGGGTCTCCAAGATGTTACAAAGATGAAAAAGGCACCTTAAGACTAATAAATCATTTCGTTACACTTGTTTACGAAAAGCTTCTTCCCTGCTCAAGTATTTCAGCTATAATCACTGATGTCCACAATTTGGGTGGTCCATTAAATAAAATAATAATAATAAAAAAATTAAAAAAAACGCTTATTTTTTGATGAAATACCAGCAATACACAACTTTCTTTTTTTTTCTTTTCTGTTGAATTGAAATATATATTAAAGCAATAGAAATTCAACACTACATAGCAATTAAACTACAATCTTTTTTTTAAAAAAAACTTATTATATTGGTGTTTCGTGGTGCCCCCTTTAACTTCTGGTGTCCTTCGCACATGTTTATTATGCTTAATGATAAATACAGCCCTGTTTAATATCAGTATTTGAACATATTTCAAGAGATCTTTCAATTAATCTTATATATAATTTATAAAAATTGAACATGACTCAAACTTTGTGGATTCGTTTAAATAATACTAAATGTTTTTTTTTTCCTTCTCCATAGAAAAATATACTTTCCAGTCTTGAACTTAGACTGTGGAAGCCTACTCAAGACTTTACCTCAGCTGATGACAAGTTTCTCCTAGTCCGTGTTGCTTCTGAATCTGTAATTATACTTCTTTTAATATCCAACCATTCATTCATTTGTGTTGTGATTATTAATCTTCAATCATTTTAACAATCATCTTCGTTACCCAATTGCATTTTATGTTATGCCATAAATAAGAATCTCAAGTACTTTTTGTGATTGGGATAAGCGTACTTTTTTGTTTCTGAGGTCAAAAGATTTATTATTTTAATGTTGCTCAAGTAAGAAACTACATAATACTACTGCATTATTAATGCTTTTTTACTAAATTTTTGTGTTTGTAATCTATTATAATGTTTCTGTTTTATTCAAAGTGATGTTTCTGACATACAGCGTTTATTGAGTACAGTTTTAGTACACACATAACAATTGAATTGTTATACCAATATATATTGATTTTTAAATAGTATACTTTAAATAAGACGAATAATATATATATATATCTTGTAGCAAGAAATGGAGCTCCTTATTTACCTTATTTTATTCTTTTAAATTTAGTTCCCATATATTTTAACTTACACACATTTTGTAATGTGGCTGCTTGCAAGTGCAAATCAACAAATTATGAAATAAAGCTCCCACAACTATGTTTTAGAAACATAATATGTGTACAAATAATAACGAAAATTGGAAATATAAAAATGAAAGAAATCATCCATAATTGATAAATTTCATTCTAGAAATGTTTTTACTATCAAATCCAGCTCTGTATACGCACATGCAAGTATTTCATCAAGCATGTAAAATGATTGGCCAGTTCATGCGCTACTGACTGATGTCTTCTACAGCATTATTATTTAGATTATTTTCTATTATTAAATACAAATCAAATGTATATACAAAATGTTATTAAAACGCAAATAAAAGTATAATTGTATGCTTTTGTAAACTGATACTAAAGACCTCAAATCTTAAATAAAAAAGGAATTATTTTAATAGAAAAAGTTTAATTTCCACAACTGCATTAGAAAAAAAAAATTCCAGTTCATTTAGTCTCAAATAGGCAATAATGAGAAAAACATTTCTTAAATTGAGTATGAGATTTATTTTGATATTTTAAAATACTTGTTTTTAAATTTCATAAAATGCTAGCCGGCTTTCAGCCGGTCAACCTTTTTAAAAAAATAGATTTTCAAGTATTTCGAGATTTAAAATTGCACAATCAAAAATTAATTGTGAGTATATTGAACTCATATTGCTAAAGTGAGAGTGGATTTTATTTTTAGTTCCTTGCATGATCTTACGGTATTGTGTTGAATTTGTTTCTAAAATGTTTAGTACAACACATGCTAACATTAAAAAGAAGGAAAAAGAATGCTATAATCTCAATGGCACCTTTGTTTTATAATAAATCAAATCCGCTACCCAGTCAAAATCAAACTCTGCACTTATTTGCAATTATTAATTATAAGCCAATAAATTTTAATTGTAAAGGTTTTTTCACCAAAACGTAATGAACTTTAACTTATAATTTTCTTTCAGTTAAAATAATACACATATCTAAAACAACAAATAATATATTTTAAAGCAAAAAATTTAGCTTGACGGCGCTATTCAAGAACTAAATGAATCTGAATCAAGTAAATGAGTTTTTATGTTGATAAGTTAAAATCCTAAACTTTAAACTGATCTGAGTCTTAAATGTGTGTAATTAAAAATATCATTTATGTTCAGTGCAAAAAAAAAAATGACTGCTTTGAATAACTTTTGATCTAATGATTGGATCTTATAAGTTCTAGGATTAAATCTTAATGGTTTCTAGGGACAATATTTTAAGTTAAGAAATCAAACAAAAATGTACTTTCTCTGAATAAACATACCTTTTTATCAGCGGATTCAGATTTCCAGCCCTCGCAATATAAAGGATAGCTGCAATATGAGAAACATGCCGAATTTGAAAAATACGACTTTTTTTAAAACTCAATTTCTCAAATACTCTTCGACTGTCTTCGCAGACATTTTGTATTTTGAATTGTAAAATTAGATTTTTTAAAATAATGTCAAAGAATAACTATAAAAAACCAAACCTTAAATATGAAAATTTAAACCTTACAGTTCAAATTTTTTTTCTCTTATTAAACAGCAATTCTCGAGGCAGAGCAAAATATGCAAAAAAATATTATTAACATTAAGGGGTCAAAACTTTGGAGCGCTCTCCTGACCTTATTAAGTAGCTCTGTTAATTTTTTATTCGCATCAAAATAATTTCCCAGCTTCAAAATTTTCGGGATACTATTTTTATTTTCCAGGGTTTATGGGTCCCGAGAAATCAGTACGAACAATACCGATTGCTATTAGATTATCAGATACAAAGTCACAAAAAAATGGGTCCTATTAAGCCAGAATTCTAGTGGTGAAGAAAGTATATGTATTTAAGATTTCTACATAAAATATTTTGTTATCCAGTACTGATTCCAAATGTTCTTGATTGAATACAAAGTGAATAAAAGTTATCTCATGTGTAATAAGAAGCCAAGTTATGTTACATGTAATGTTCATTGTTTTTCTGAAACTGTTAAATATGTTACTTTGTTATTGTTCACAATCAACTAGGATAGGATTACCAGAACGCAATGAAAACCTTGAAACATGAAAGTTTAGATAAAGAACTGCCCAGTGTACCATGAAAATTTATGTTTATTCTCTTCAAGTGAACTGACTTTACATAGTAAGGCCGCCAATCTTGTGAACACATAAATATTTATTCTTAATAAATCATTTTGACAAAACCTCTTTTGCTTTTCAATAATATTCATTTTTCATTACCTGTGCCTCTTTCTTCAAAGCATAATCAGTGTTGCCACTCCACAGGGAAAACCTGGGAAATGCAGAGAATTTAGTTTCTTTATTTTGTCTTTTTAAAAAGGTGACTACTCAATGCCTAATCTGTGGGATATTTAAGGATGATATTCCAACTATACTAAACTATTTCATTTACTAAAGCATTATTTAAGTATGTTCAGCTGTTCCTTTTTTCTCTGAGTTTATCGAGCAATTAAAACTAGCATAGTTAGCCTTGTACAGCTCACACAAGAGTGCAGTAATTGTGTTTCCTCAAAATATATTGTGTATAATACATGGTGCGTAGCGTTTTTAAAAAGTGCTTAGAGGTGCTTATTTTCGATTTTCGTTTTTTACAAGTTCTTAAAGGCGCTCTTATCATTGGGTGTTTTAAAAAAATTGCTTAATTTTCCCCTTTCGAAAGTGAGATTTTTTTCTTCATCATGACCCACATATTATGAGCTGGGTTCAGTGAGATTATTGCATTCTCATGTTCAACTCTGCTGCATTTTGCAAGATATTCTCAGTTTCTGGCTTCATTTTCCACCTTCTGAAATCGAACCGAAAAATCTCTGGATCATTTTATAATGACTAATATAATCAAGAAATGAGTTCTTTATCATTTTATCTGCATGCATAATGTTAATTTCTAGCTTATTTTTTTACATAAGACAGCATTCGAAATCATTGCTGGTCCACTGTAAAAAGCATGAAATAATATTCAATGCTTTGATGGGACCATATCGGCCTTCAATCAACCTTATCAGTAATAATATGCTGTACTTTTTGTTTCATTTTGGGTTTAAGAGATGTACAAATATACTTAACGCTAAATTACTAGTGGACCACTCGTATTGTTTATGGACCAGTACAACGTAACACTTCTGGTCAGTAACTTTTTTAAATATATAATTTTGAATGCTGTACTTAGTGTTTTTATTCAAATGTTAAATCAATTAGTTAAAAATAATTAAGTTTTATTAAAAAAATTAATTAAATGTGATCATGAAGCATGGAAGTGATTTTAATTCAAGTGATTTATTTCTAAGACTGATTAATCATGGTGCGTAGCGTTTTTAAAAAGTGTTTAAAGGTGCTTATTTTTTATTTTCATATTATAAAAGCCCTTAAAGGTGCTTTTTTTAATGGGTGTTTTTAAAAAGTGCTTCATTTTCCCTTTTCGAAAATGAGATTTCATTTCTTTACTATGTATATTTTCGCCACGTAGTGTGCAAAAGCATGCTTTTCATATTGTTCTATTCAACGTTATTCACAATTCATTCAGCCTTATTGTATTTCAGCATGCCGTCGCTCCATAGCATATAAAAACGCCAATCATTTTACGTGTTTGATTAAGCACTTGCGAGTCCGTATGTGCACATACTGAGCTGGGTTCGATGAGATTCTTACACTGTCATGTGCAACTCTGCTGCATTTTGCAAGATATTCTCAATTTCAGACTTCATTTCCCACCCTCTGATATCAAACTGAAAAATCTCGCGATCATTTTATGGCGGCTATAATATAATCAAAGAAGGAGTTCTTTGTCAGAAACTAGTTATTTTATTATGAGCATGTAAAGTCTTTGAAAATTATTTTGCATTTTGTTAATGTATATAGTGCTTAAAAATATTTTTTGTTGAAAGATTTGGCTATGCACCCTGATAAAAAAAAGATGGTCGAAATTCCCCCTCCACTCACACTCCAGTAGAGGTTTTTCTTTCTCTGCTTTATCAGGTCCGAGAAGAAAAAAAATTCATGACCTTTTTTTTTATGGCATTTTGCTTTAAAAAATTCTTTTTAGCTATTTTATAATTTGTGTAAAAATATAAAGTAAAAAACACAGACAGACCCCTGATAATGTTAATACATTTCAAAGAAACAGTGGTATTTTCCGTCTGACTTCTTCTCAATGGAAGTATTCACATTGTTTTTAAAAGAAATTTTCTTACTAATGATCACTTCATTCAGTGCTAATCTGTGTTTTCCCTGTACACACAATATAGTACGAATAAACACAACAATCACTGTTCTATTGTGTGAGCTATATATTGAGCTAACTATATTTATTAGTTTTAATTGCTGGGAAAAAAAGAAACTGCTTAACCCCTGTGGCAGAAATTTTTCTTGCATTTTCTGCCACAAACTTCCTTAGCGGTAATATTTTTCTTTAAATTATAACAATTACTCATTTAAATTAACAGAAACGTTATGTTAACAAAAGAAAGTATAGAATAAAAATGTATAAAAAAAATTTAGTATAAAAGTAATATTTTCTAATTATTCTATTCTAATTATTTTAATATATTCTAATATTATAGGCCATATTTTCTCAATACGTGGGAGGAAAAACGCACTCATTATTTCCTTTTTTGAATTTTGTAAATCATAACACAATTTAAAACTCTCAAATAAATGAAACGATAATAAATTAAAATTCTTAGATAAATTAAAAATCTTGCAATCCATACAATAATTCCCAAAATNTTTATAATTCTAATATTATAGGCCATATTTTCTCAATACGTGAGAGGAAAAACGCACTCATTATTTCCTTTTTTGAATTTTGTAAATCATAACACAATTTAAAACTCTCAAATAAATGAAAGGATAATAAATTAAAATTCGTAGATAAATTAAAAATCTTGCAATCCATACAATGATTCCCAAAATAAAGAGTTCTAAAGATTGTCAAATAAATGTATGTAAAATAGGTTGTTCTTTAAAGAAAGAAAAAACATCATTTCTGGAGCAAAGTTTCTTTTAAACTTTTGATTTCTCAATTTTTATTTTGTATTATTAATTTGAAATTCTAGCTAAAGCCCTTATTACCGATTTTTTATAAAATCTCAAATGAGAATAGAAAAAATCATTGTTATTTCTTTCCTCTCTGATGAGCAAGAAAGACATCTTTGAAGGAAAAAAAACTCTGCAGGAAAAAAAACATTTTTTGTAAACTTATGGAGAAAGGAAAACCACTTTTCCCTTCTCAAATGAAAAATCTTTTTGCAAAAACTCTGTAACGTTCTGCGACAATGTCACCATAATTCTGCCATGGGGAGCTTAACTTACTTAAAACAAATAATGCTATAGTAAATAACATAGTTTGGTATAGCTGAAATATTATCCTTTAATATCCCGAAGATTACGCTTTGAGTGGTCACTCTATTTTAAAAGAATTCAAAGTTCTCTTTATTAAGTGAATTTTAAATTCTCTGTATTTTCCAGCTTTTCCCTGTGGAATGGTAACCCTGTTATTGAAATGATTCAGGTTGGAACATTATAATGGGCATTGAATAGAAATTGGGGCTTGTATTAAAGATCTTTTTTAATGAGTTTTTACATGTCAACATCTTGTGTTTATAGGTCAAACTTTACACAGTTGTTCTTTGCCACCCTAATCTCTCCTACTTAAGGTGCCTGGAACATCAATTTATGCATTTAGTGTCGAGGCTGAGCCTGGTCGTCAAGTCGAACAAGCTACTTCCAGGCTCTGGAAAAACAGAGGAGTGGTGTTGCAATTTGGTGAGGAGATTTTCTGTAGGAAATGGTGAGAGTTTTTCTTTTTTTTTTTCTACCGTAAAACGCTTACCTGATCATCCCGAGTTAACTCGGGTATGTGTATATTGCAAATATTTATTATCCCCAGAAAACTCGGGCGTAGCAGAATGTGTCAGTTTGTTTTGTTTTATCACGTATTTACTCTGCTGTGTTTGCAAATTTGCCAAATTTTGTTTGGGAGTTTTGCTGTTAGATTGTGGGAATTTACACTTTGTGCGATTGCCGATACAATGATTACTGAATTTACATAGAAAAAAAAAAAAGAATAAACAAAAAGGGCGTATCACTTCACTGATATTTGAAAAGTATCACTATGTGTTGTTTCTTCTTTTAAGAACTATCGTACAAAGACTAATATTTAGCTTTTTTAATTTGCCCGAGATAACTCTGGATAGTAAACTGATGATAAATTAAATGTTTTTTACACTTATAAAAAATATAAAATTTCAACTTAGAACTTGTGTATTATGTTTTGTTTTAGTTCCTTGTATTTATTAATGACATAAAAAAATATGTTAATTTTTTTTTCTCCAAAAAAATTGGTAAAGGAAGTTGTTTTGTTTGTTCTAAGGCAGTTTCAAATGTGTCTTTCAGTTAATAAGTCACTTAACACAGTTGCTAGATGAACCCTGAGTATTTTTTGTTATGAGAATTACATAGTATCCCTTGAATCATGACTTAGCTACAAACTGAATAATTCTCTTTGAGTCATGTAAATTATTAATTTATTTGAAGAAAAATATATACTTCTGCCTATACATAACTACATCAAATTTTTTGATAATCTTTTCCATAAAACTTCTGACTACCACATATTATTACTTAAATATATACCCTTTCAGAAACAAAACACTACTTTATAAAATTTTCTAATTTTAACGTATATGTTTGAAAAGACATTTGTGAGTTTAAAAATAATAATGATTATCCCAGTTAAGTTTATAACAGGAAAACACTATTGATTTTATTATTTTCTGATTTAAGTTTAGTTCATTTTTTTTTCTTTGAAAATAAATGCTGTTAAAGATTTCCTTTTAAACTATAAGATTTCCTCTAATCAGCTTCAATAATTTTTAATACCAAATAAAATCAATGAAAATACAAAACAAAATCCTTTTTACAACAAATAATGAATATATATTAGGAAATATTCGGTCACTAATCGACCCTTTTGTCGAATATTTTTATGGAAAAATATTTTTCTTTTTTTAAGGAAAATTTGAATAGATTAAATAATCATTTTAAAAGATTCAATAGAGAATCATTTAAAACTGTATTTTTTACAGCACATTATTAGAAATAGTTTTTACACATATTCACGGTGCGTAGTGTTTTTAAAAAATGTTTAAAGGTGCTTATTTTCGATTTTCTTTTTTCTTAAAGCCCTTAAATGTGCTTTTTTTATCGAGTGTTTTTAAAAAGTGCTTAATTTTCCCTTTTTGAAAATTAGATTTTTTTCTTTACCATGTCGATTTTCGCCACATATTTTTCACATTGTTCTATTCAACGTTTCCCAATTCATTCAACCACTATCTATTTTGGTGTACCGTTGGTCCATAGCGCATGAAAGTGTCAATCATTTTACGTGTTTGATGAAATTCTTGCTAGTCAGCGTGTGCGTCTACTTAGCTGGGTTCGGTGAGATTATTGCCTTCTCATGTACAACTCTGCTGCATTTTGCAAGAGATTCCAGGCTTCATTTTCCATCCTCTGATAACGAACCGAAAAATCTCTCCATCAATTTATGGTGGCTAATATAATCAAGAATAGTGTTCTTTGTCAGAAACTATTTATTTTATTATGATCATGAAAATTATTTTGTATTTTGTTAATGTATATAGTGCTTAAAAGTGTATTTTTAGTGCGTAAAAAGTACTTAAAAGGTGCTTGTTGAGAGATTTGGCTACACATCCTGATATTTGTTAAGTTTTAAAACCTTCTAATGTTTTGAGAGACATATGGAAAAGCGAAACTTGAAAAAACTGGAACTAGATTACTTTAAACTGAACCATAAGTTATGTACATATGATTTTTTTAAAAATTATATTCTTGTAATTTTTACACTTTTTTCTTCTTCAAGAATTCACAATTTTAGTTTGTTTCATTTTCTCTGTTTATAGCGCAGCATTAAAACAGAGCGTTTCTAATTCTTTTCTTGTTTATTGTCACTTTTTCCTGTACGGTAAGAAAAAAATTACCGGTAGCCTAGAAGAGTGATTTTAAACGTTAAAGTAACATTTCAGAAGTGGGAACAATTTTTTATTTCTGTTTCTCTTTTGCTCTTTTTTATTTTTATTAACTTTTCTTTTTATCGGCATTTTTATTATGACACAGTATTTTTTAAAGAGCGTTTCTAATGGGCGAAGGTTCCATACGCATTGGGGAAATCGCAAATTCTCAGGGAAAGCGAGATTCGGAAAAAAGTCAGGGAAAAACTTAATTTTACACCGAAACCAGGATTCGTCAGGGAATTTGATACTCTATTAAATTGCAAGATTTGACTTTTCTTTGGCTTTACTTCAATAAAAAAAATTTTAATTTCAATTCTATTTTTTTTTTTAAATTTGTGTTTTACGATTGTATTTAATATATTTTCTATCTATTTATCCATCTTTTTATTATTCTTTTTTTTTAAACTTTCCTCTTGTGATTTAAATATGATTCAGTTATTTTTATATATTTATTAATTATTTATATATTTATAAATTATTTTTTTTAGGTTGACTTAGTTGTTGAAAAATTCTTTTATTTTATTAAGTTCTACCTTTATTTTTTATTACCTTTTAGCTTTGTTTCATATTTTGGGATAATTTCTTTATTTCTGCTTATCTGTTGATAAAAAGCATTATTTTTTAGTTATTTATTCTATTTTATTTAATTTGATACATATAGATAAATTGAATTAATTATGGATTGCTATTAATCATCATCAGCACTGGCACGATAGCCCTTTGTGAGCCTGAACCTTCCTCGGAAGCTTTTCCCGTTCTGCCCTTCTCCTAGCAATTGATTTCCAGCTCTTTACATTTAGGATGGCAAAATCCTCATCCACACAGTCTTTCCATCTCTTTTTAGGCCTTCCTCTTGGCCTTTTATTGGAGGGAGTTGCATTAAAGACTATTAATGTTGTTCGTTCTGGGCTCATTCTCACTACATGCCCGGCCCATCTCATTCTACTTAGTTTTATAGATTTAATGATATCATCCCCAGTAAAGATTTTATATATTTCAAAATTATATATTTTTCTACAGTTGTTGTTATCGAGGATAGCACCAAATATGGTTCGTAGGAACATTCTTTCGAAGGTTGCTAATAACTTTTCTTCCCTTTTTGTTAAAGTCCATGTGTCTGAAGCATAAGTCAAAACTGACTTGATTAATACCTTATAAAGTAAAATCTTCGTCTTTCATTTTTTAAGTGAGATTTCAATAATGATCTTGAACCATAGAAACAGCGATTATTCTTTTTCTGATTTCAGGATTAATGTCATTTTGATAGTTTATTTCTGATCCTAGGTAAGTAAAATTTTTTACAGATTCAAATTTAAAAGAATCTATTTCAAACAATTTAGGGATGGTTTCCATTGTACCACAATACATATATTTTGTTTTCTCCACANATATGATTCAGTTATTTTTATATATTTATTAATTATTTATATATTTATAAATTATTTTTTTTAGGTTGACTTAGTTGTTGAAAAATTCTTTTATTTTATTAAGTTCTACCTTTATTTTTTATTACCTTTTAGCTTTGTTTCATATTTTGGGATAATTTCTTTATTTCTGCTTATCTGTTGATAAAAAGCATTATTTTTTAGTTATTTATTCTATTTTATTTAATTTGATACATATAGATAAATTGAATTAATTATGGATTGCTATTAATCATCATCAGCACTGGCACGATAGCCCTTTGTGAGCCTGAACCTTCCTCGGAAGCTTTTCCCGTTCTGCCCTTCTCCTAGCAATTGATTTCCAGCTCTTTACATTTAGGATGGCAAAATCCTCATCCACACAGTCTTTCCATCTCTTTTTAGGCCTTCCTCTTGGCCTTTTATTGGAGGGAGTTGCATTAAAGACTATTAATGCTGTTCGTTCTGGGCTCATTCTCACTACATGCCCGGCCCATCTCATTCTACTTAGTTTTATAGATTTAATGATATCATCCCCAGTAAAGATCTTATATATTTCAAAATTATATATTTTTCTACAGTTGTTGTTATTGAGGATAGCACCAAATATGGTTCGTAGGAACATTCTTTCAAAAGTTGCTAATAACTTTTCTTCCCTTTTTGTTAAAGTCCACGTGTCTGCAGCATAAGTCAAAACTGACTTGATTAATACCTTATAAAGTAAAATCTTCGTCTTTCATTTTTTAAGTGAGATTTAAGTGATGATCTTGAACCATAGAAGCAGCGATTGGCTATGATTATTCTTTTCTGATTTCAGGATTAATGTCATTTTGATAGTTTATTTGTGATCCTAGGTAAGTAAAATTTTTTACAGATTCAAATTTAAAAGAATCTATTTCAAACAATTTAGAGATGGTTTCCATTGTACCACAATACATATATTTTGTTTCCTCCACATCTCTTAAGTTCATGATTCTAGCAGATTTTTCCAGTGCCAAAAAATTTTCACTCAGTGCAGTCGTAGATCTTGCGATGATGTCTACATCATCGGCGTAAGCCAAAATCTGCACTGATTTATTAAATATAGTATTTATGCCAACATCTCTAATAACTTTTTCTAAGGCTATGTTAAACGGATGACATGCTAATGCATCTCCCTGTCTAACTCCATTATAAATTTAAAAAGAGATAGATAGTTCCCCCTGAATTCGTACCGTTGAAATGGTTTCAGTGAGTGTGAGCATTACACAAGTCTGATTAATTTTGATGGAATATTAAAATCAGATAGGGTCTTAAATAGCTCAGTCCTATTAATACTGTCATATGCCGCCTTAAAATTCACAAATAAATGATGGGTCTCTATTCCAAATTCTCCAAAGTTTGTTACAGGGTGAAGATTTGGTCAACTGTGGACCTTCCTTTGCGGAAGCCACACTGATAATCACCAATGACGCTGTCTACAATGGAAGACAGACGTTCAAATAGGATATTTGAGAACACCTTATAAGCAACGCATAACAGACTTATTCCTCTATAATTGTGACAGTCCAATACATCCCCTTTTTTATGTATTGGACATAGAATACTCAACTTCCATTCAATAGGCAATATCTCTCTCTCCCAACAATCAATAGGCAATATCTCTCTGATCTATCTAGAATAATTTTCCAGATGTTGTTTACAATAGCGTTCCCACAATATTTTAAAATTTCAGCTGGGATATCATCTAGTCCTGCCGCTTTATTACATTTCAACTTGTTGATAGCGTGTTGTACTTCTTCCAGGGTTGAAGTGTCAGCCAGTGTATCATTAATATTGTTGACTGTCATAAAATTTAATTCACTTGACTCATTGGAGTTAAGTAAATGGTCAAAGTGTTCAACCCATCTGTCCATAATTTTATTTCTCTCATTAACAATAGTTCCATTTTCATCTTTACAAAGAGAGATCCTAGGTTTAAAGTCTCTTCTTCCCTCATTGATGGCCCGATAGAAAGCTCTGCTTTCATGGTTGGTCCTGAGAGATTTGACTTCTCTGAATTGGTTCTCCCTGTAAGCTTTCTTTTCCTCTCTACGTGCACTCCTGCATTCATCAATTGATCCTCTAGTAAATTTTCTGTTAATCATATTTTTATAGGCTTTATTTTTTCTTTCACTGACCATTCTTTACTCTTCATCAAACCAGTCAGTTCTTATTGATCTTTTTTTCCTGCCCAGCAGCTCATGCGCTGTTGAAAGTATATTATCTTTTACTAGTTGCCATTCCCTATTTAATTCATCACAATCCTCTTTCGCATTAAGCTCAGTTTAGTTGGAAATTCCTAGCAAACCTTGTTCAACTTTTCACAATAGAATTGACCCTTCTTTCCTTCCTCACCATTGGGATCCTTTCCCTGAGCTTACAAATCACTAAATAGTGATCAGAATCTAGGTTTGCTCCTCTGTGAGTTTTTACATCTAGAAGATTTGTACGAGCTAATTAGTATATGATCATCCATAAGGGGATCTCCAAGTTGCGTTAGGAATATTCTTATGTTGAAAAAAAGTGCTTCCATTATCATATCATGAGAGGCAGCGAAACTAATAAGCCTGACATTTGAGACATCGTGTAAACTATAGTTTCCCAAAGCTGGTCTAAATTCTTCCTCATGACCAACTTTAGGGTTGAAATCACCCATGATGATCTTCACATCATGTCTGGGGCCCCAGAGGTGATCATCATAAAAATTATCTTTCTCCTTCTTCAGTCGGTGCATATACATTAATGATGGAATAGTTGGCAAAATTTCTTTTTAAGCGCAATAGACAGAGTCTAGGAGAGATAGCTTGGAAATCAATAATCAAATAACTGAGTTTTTTATTTAAGATGAAGCCAGTTCCATATAAATGTTTTGTTTTATGACAACTGTAAAAAAGCGTGTCTCTTCTCTTTTCCAAGACTCCACTACCAGTCCAGCGCATTTCTTGTATAGCCAACAAGTCCAATCTATATGAGTCGATTTGCTCGATTAGCAGTTGCAGATTTTTACTCTGATAGAGAGTGCGTATATTTTAGTATCCAAATCTCAGTTCCTTTGATCGTTTCCTGATCAAATTCCGTGAAGGCAGTCCGGCATTTACTTCTTTGGATTTCGAAACAGGCTGGTTTTTACAGGGTGGGGTTGTTAGCCCCATGCCCGACCCCCAACCTGGAGGACCAGTCCCCTGATATAATGATGACGGGCAGGGTACCCCTCTATACCCTCGAGCATTGGGTGCCTGTTTTAGTCGCCTTTTACGACACACGTAGGCTACGTTGGGACAATAGTTTCGCCGGTCACCACACGGGGCATTGCTATTAATAGTTTGTTTTTATATGTTATGCAGTCAAACCCCACTATAGTGAACACGGAATGTTTGCTCCCGAGCCTTGCTACCCACGTATACTGTTATTTTTTGTAGATATAGTGAACCCCAAAAAAAATGAGGAAGTTGGATATTATAATTTTTTTTTCTGTCTTCGACTAATTTATTTTCTTCATTTCTAATACATGTTCGTAATAATTTTGAAACTTATATTTCGAAACAAATACATATACCGATTTTTTAAACCATCTATAGCATGGAATGTAACAATAAGCATTTTTCTTGTTTACTTAGTTATTGAATAGCATTATTGAATTCGTTCAGCATTCAAAAAAGCCGCAATGTTCAGTATCTGGACAAATGCTTAAAGTCACTCAATCTTATTAGTACTTATCTTTTTCATAATTAATTTTTCTATTCATGCTAATTTATTGAGTTTTAATTGTTTATCGCATTTTCATTTTTAAAAATGTTCTTATGTTGATTAAATGTATTTTGCCATTTAAGATTACATTTTTGTAAGTGATATAAATGTGTAACTTACGTTCAAAATACTTTTGGCTATTAATAAATCATAATTAGATATTTTTTGCATGGATTTATCTTTTGATAAATGAATTTTATAATTGTAGACTAAACATTTTCTGGTAGCTCAAAGTTTTTGAGATACACAAAAGGTAAAATTAACATTAAAAGTCAAAAATATTCAACTTCAATCTCTCTCCTGACTATGCATATTTTTTCCAAATTGTCAGAATCATAGTTATATTTATTCTGAAACAGTACGTTTTTGTGCCTATTTCAAAACTTAAAATATAGTCTACACAAGTTAGATAACATACATATTTTAGGTTAGGCCCTCAAATTGAGCCTTTGTAGATAAAAATCTGATCATTAGTGTTAAAATTCATTTGAGGTGTTTAGTTTTTTACAATTGTATTTAATAGTTTTGCAGTCATACAGTCTGCACCTAAAACAATAATTATAACCTCTGTTTTACTCTTTCAGGCATAAATGCAAAGATTGGAATGGCTATTGCCAATGGTTTCATCAGATATTATGACTTCGTGTATAGAAAGCTAGAATTGAAGGATGACTTCACAGGCGGAGCTTATGATGACGTGGTATCAAAAGTTGAAGCTTGGAAGTCAGCATTATGCATTGTTATTATGGAATTACAATGTGATACTATACTTATAAATGATCCTGATAACATGACATCAGGAAGTTCCAGACTAATTGGTTATTTGTAAATATCACATTGAATATAATATTTTTTCTTGTGATTTGGACTGCTGGCAACACTATCAGATATTATGACTTTGTGTACAAAAAGCTAGAATTGAAGGATGACTTCACAAACGGAGCTTATGATGACATGGTATCGAAAGTTGAAGCTTGGAAGTCAGCATTATTATTATGTAATTGCAATGTGATACTATACTTATATATGATCCATATAATATTGGCTCTTTTGGATATTTTTTATGTGTTGAAATGTATTTTATAACCTTAATATCGTAGCTGAACTTATCGTTAAATCTAATGGAAGGTGAGCTAGCTGTTGAGGGGTCGATATGCGGATTGTATTACGAATGATTACGAACAAACGATAACTATTTATTAACGAAATGATGATTGACGCCATTTGAAGACGTCCGACTATATCAGAACAAAAAAACAACTGGAGCTCTTCTTTTCGCCAAATTAGAAGATAAACGAAGTCAAAGCCGAGAGAGGCGCCAAGACTAGCTTTGTGTTGGTTTAAGACCTAAATAAAAAATAATTACAGCTTACAATAAAAATAATTCGTCGAATCAGTGACTTCTAGCAAAAATTACTGATATCAATTGTTTGTGGTCCCCAAACTATTTTTTTTTTTTGACAATCACATAGTTTTGTTTTATATTTTGCTTCAATATATAGACACGTGAACTTAATCTTAGAAAAATAATCTTCAATCGTCTGCTTTCAAAATTTCATAGAATGTTTCTCTTGAATCATGCAATTCAATAGATTCTTTTTTTATAATTAAGACTACTACTCAGTAATTTTATTTCAAAATATTTTGTAAGGGGCACGAACAATTTGGTGGGCCTGAATTTGTCTTGATCCCTAGCGCCACCTACATGCTTAGTTTTACACAGTCAACCATCCTCGCTGTGACCATTACAAGTTATATACTGTAGAGCCCTGATTATCTGAGTTTCGGCTTTAACCGAGCTATCAAATATTTGAAGGATTTTTTTTTTGTCCTATTTTATTTGCGAATGCAATGGCCTATATTGGGCGTTGTTATTTGAGACGAATGACTGCTATACTTCATTTCACCTTAAGTTTTCACTACAGGGAAAAGTAGAAAATGTAATACTACGCCTTTGAAAAGTAGTTCTTCGCTATTTTGGAATTAATTACAGTGTAAATGTGCTTACAAATATAAATAAATGTTGCATAATAAGAAAAGTTTATCTTGAAACATCTATTAGAAGTTTTTCCTTTGCTTAAGTGCCCTATCTCTTATGCAGTTCTTATTTTGCTTTCTTTCACTAGCATCGCAACTATTAATTGTTCTTTTGTTTTGTTTTTCATTAGTTATTAAACGTTAATTTATTGTTTTATGCTAGTTATTTATCGTTGGCTTGTTTTTTTATAGTTATTAATTTTTTTTGCATTAATTGTTAATTTTTTGTTGTGATTCCTTGTTAGATTTTTTTTTTACTAATTACTAAATTTTAGCATATTTTTTGTTAGTTTATTTTTGTAGCTATTAATTTTATAGCTGGTTTTAATTGCTAGCTTGTATTATTTATCGATAGCCTTTTTTTCTTTTGTGAGTTTAGCTTATCTTTAACTTGCTTTCTTCTTTTAATTATTAATTTTAATAGGCATTCAATTCCCTACTTATTTTTCTCATTTTAACGTTTTAAGAATGTGAGAGACAGAACTATCACCGACAAAAATGTTTACGCCTTCAAAGCTGGGAAAAATTATAGAAAGTGGTGCTCGCAGAAACATTTTATATGTATATTCACAACTGAGAAAAGAAAATCCACATGAAAGTATCACTCAAATATGTCACAAAGTTGCTACACTTACTGGATGTTCAAAAAGAATCGTTTATAGTTTGAAAAATGAAAAAAAAACATCCAGCCCTTTAAGTACACCTGGGGGGGTGACATGGAGCTGTATGTAAACGCACAAGACTTGTAAAATACAAAGATTTTACATTGTGCAGCATTTCCAGAAAAATCCATGCTTTTTTTCGTAGAAATGAAGTACAGGTTTTGGATAAGGTTTTAAAAGAAATAAATAGTGACGCAAACATACTAGGTATTTGAAAAGAACATTGGCCGTTCAACTCTTATATTGGATTCTTAAATACTTCGGATTTTCTTTCCAGAAGAGAAAAAGACAATCTTCTCTTATAGAGAGGAATGATATAATTTTGTGTCAGAGAAATTATTTGCGTCATATTAATGAGTACAAAGAGAGGAATGTGCTAATTTATAGGGTGCCTAGCACCTGGAAAGTCATGAATTTCAGTATTGAACAAAATTTGTCATGATTTTAGCTTTTTTTTTTAAAAAAAATCATGAAAAGTCTTATATTTAGGTCTCCGAAAAATCTTATTTTTAAAATGGAATGTACCCCCTCCCCCCAATTTCATGGTGTTCTGAATTTGTAACAAAATCCCCACTCACAGTCATATTTGATTAAAATATAAAATGTTTTTATCCGACTCTTTAAAAATTATGGTATTCTTTCAAAAAATGAAAGAAAAAACATTTCTAGAGCGAATTATCTTTTAAACTTTTGTGATTTCAGAATTTTTGTTATTTTATCAATTTAAAATTTTAGTTGAAGCAGAAAATCAGGAGTATTTCTTTCCTTTCTGATGAACAACAAAAGTATCTTTAGAATGTCATTTTGCAGGAAAAAAAAGAAAAACAAATTATTTACTTTTGTATTTTTTTTCCAGCTGTTTTATTGCTTCAACTCTTTCTTTACTCTGTTTTTCTAAATTTAAAATCAATAAATATGAAGATGCAGAGTATAGCAGTTTTGGTTATACCTATCATTTCAATGAATGCTATTATAATGCTTTTTTAAATGTATTTTGTTTTTGTTGGAGAAAATAGAAACTTCGTTAAGTCATGAAAAATTCTTGGAATTAGTCATGAAAAGTCATGAATTTGTAAAATCTAAAATGTAGCAGATACCCTGAATTTATTACCTGGATGAAACGTGGGTTAATGAAGACCATTTCCCTAGTAAAACATGGCTAGATACAACAATTAAGACCAGCTTTGAAGCTTGGTCATCAAATTTGACTGTAGGTTTAGCTGATCACATTGGGAGCAAAGAATTTGTTCCAGGAGCCCGCAGATGCGTTTGTTGGGGAGTGGGGATTACCACGAAGATATGGACGGTAACCATTTTGAAAATTGGTTTAAAAAAGTGTTATTAAGACCAAAAAGTGTTATTGTTATGGATAATGCTACCTTTCAATTGGAAAGGTCAAAGAGGAGAAAATATCTTTCAGGCNTTTTGACGTAGGGGGTAAGGGTAGTTTTGTTCTGAGTTCAGGGTCAAGTTGAATTCACTCGGTGATGTGGGAAAGTACTGATTGTTTCGATTTACGCCCGTTTCTTTTTGTTTTGTTTTTAACGCTCAAACTGTTCATAAAAAGTTTTTGTTTTTCAATAATATCATTGATTCAATCTGAACTTTTTGAGTGCTTGAAAATTTTTGTAAAGTGCTTGAAAAGTTTTTAAAAAGTGCTTATTTTTGATTCAAAGATTTTGCTACGCACCCTGTTGAAGATATTGCCGAAAAATACGGGCATACAGTTTTAAGGCTCACTCCTTATCACTGTGAGCTTTGATATTATGGAGTCAGATAAAAGGAAATATGAAAATAAGACTTTCAAATTTAATGATGTTAAAACTCTTCTTATAGAAGCCATGATTAAAGTAACTACTCAAAATTGGGCAGAGGACGAAATGCGGCTAATAGATGAAAAACGAAAGATTTATAATTTTTTTGAACAGTGACTTGTTCAAGAAGACACAAGTGTTGAAGAAATGTAATAAATTGTTTTAAAAAATTCAGATTCTATGCAATATAAGCTTATTTTCAATAATTTTATGAAAAATAGATCTTAACTTTAAAAATTTTCTCCAATGAAAGTTCTCAAAATTCTTTGACAATATTTTTGTATTGATTATATTAAGGGTGCACAACCTTTTTGAGTGAAGGGCCACATGCACAGCAGATTGACTAATGAAGGGCCGCATGCCCAATTATTTCGACAGCTATTGTATGTAGTTCTAGGCACTAAATTCTTTCTGTCAGTTAACACGTTGAATGCCATGGGGGTCACCGGTGATCGGCACTAAGTTTGTTCGTAGCGCCACAGTGGTCACCGGAAACCGGCGTATTAGAATCACATAATTCGACTAAATTTTTTATTTTTTTATATTATTATCGTTGCTAAAATGGTTTGAAGAAATTAATGCAGTATAGAACACACAAAAATAATTTTATTTATATGCACAGAGATGCCAACTTCCTCCGGACAGCGAATAAATATTTTCAAGTTTATTAATTGTGATTCTTGGTTTAATAAATTCAATTTAGTAGATTTTTATCCACCACTATTTATAAACAATTCGCAGGCTTGTATAATTCACCATTTTTTTCAGATATGTCATGTTAAACCTTTTAAAAAAACTAGCAAAATCTGTCTAATATTTGCATATTTAGATTGTTTGTAGTTATTTACCATTTGGCCATATGGACAAGCCATGTAAAATTAGAGCGGCATTCAACGTGTCAACTTTGTAATTTGTTTGCATAAAATTAAATACTTTTAAATGTTTAAAATTAGAATCTGCGAAACTTAGTAAAAAAAAAAGAAAGAATC